AAGAAATTGGAAATGAAAAGGAAAAAAACTAGAAAAGCCACCTGAATACATGGAAAGTAAACCACATCCTACTCAGCAATCAATGGGCTACAGATGAAATTAAAGTAAAAATTGAATAATATCTACAAATCAATGAAATTTCAAGCACAAAATACTGGAATTCATGGGATACCATGAAAGCAGTTCTCATAGAGAAATTCATAGCTTTGAACCCACACATTAGGAAAACAGAATGGGAACAAATAAACACACTAATGCTGCAACTCTAACTCTAGAAAAGGGAGAGCAAACCAATTGAGAGCCCAAATACAGGATGAAATCAGCACAGGGTATGAAAAACACAATTTATTTGTTTAGCCTATTAGTATTTAACAAAATTTATCTCAGCTTATGTCATGGGTATTCAGGACACAATAATAAGGAAAAGTAGTTTGTTCTTCTTGGGAAGGAGAGAGAAAATCAATTTACAGTTGACTACAACAAGAGACCTTCATAAAGAATACTTACTTCTGGGGGATTGCCCCTTAGCTCAGTTCTATAAGTGGCTGCTTCAACAAAGCAGTCAGGCTCAGGTTGCAGTGGTTTGATCCCCACAACTCAAGCCAGCCAAACCTGCCCTGAAGGCATTTGGAGCAAAAAAAGAATAGTTACTTCTGTGTGGAGGGAGAGAAAAAAGGCTTGTTTTGGCAGTAGGTGACAATAACATATGGAATTAAAAATTATTTAAAGAAGGAAATAGAATTGTCAGATTTTCAAAGAGAAAGCCTTTTTTGTTAATCCCATTACTGGACTCACATACAAAAGAAACAAAAGAAATAAATCAACTTAAGTACCAATTAACAGATGAATGGAAAATAAAATGTGGCACATGTATAAAATGGAATATTTTTCCATAAAAGAATGAAATTATGTCACTAACATAATATTGAAATAAGTCAGGTACAGAAAGGCAAAACTTCATGTCCTCCTTTGTATGTGCAAGCTAAAAAGTTAATATCAAACAGTTCAATAGGATAGTAGGTATCAGAGTTATTAAAAGGAGCGGAGAAGAGATGGCTAAAGAGAAGACTGGAGAGGAGTGAACAGGAAGTACTAGGATTGACTTCTAATTTTCTGTAGCACAAAAAGATAAATATGTCCTACAACAATTAATGGATTTGTTATATATGTCTTGCTTTATATTGGTCTTAACCATAAAGTAAAAATGTCTAACCACAGGTATAAAAAGTAAAGCCATACTAATATGCTGAGCTGTAAAAGGCCCAACTCAACAACTTTTTTTTCAAAGTTTTACTGATAAACACATAGCAATGAGACACTTTCAAATCAAATCGGAAGTACAGTTTCAACAAATAATACACTGCATATATTCTTCTTAGTGGTTAATTGCTGTACAAGATGCGGACTTGTGATCCTACCTACAAACACCATTAGAACAACTCATTCTATTCATTAAGAGAATGCAACTATATATCTATCCCAACCACTTTGAATACACAGATACAAAATGGACATTCATAGGGATACCCCATTTTTTCTAAGTTCCGTTATTGAATATTATAGGTGTGTAAACTCAGCAAAATATTCTAAAAGAGTCCAGTAG